CCAGCTTATTTTTGTATTTTTAGTAGAGACGGGGATTCACCATGTTGGCCAGGCTAGTCTTGAACTCCTGACCTCATGATCTGCTCACCTTGGCCTCCCAAAGTGCTGGGAATATAGGCATGAGCCACTGTGCCTGTCCGTCCAGCTGATTTTTTAAATAATATATTTTTTGTAGAGATGGGGTCTTGCTATGTCACTCAAGACGATCTCAAACTCCTGGCCTCAGGTGATCCTTCAGCCTCAGCCTCCCAAAATCCTGGGATTGAAGGTATGAGCCACTGCACCTTGCTGGTTTTCTAGCTCTAGACTTTGTGTTTTAACAACATAAATGTGAAGTTAGCTCAGACATAAAGGAAACATTCATGCTTCTACTTTAAGTAGAAGTGCCTATGCGGTAATCAAAAATTCTTATTTAGTTGTACAACATCAGAAAGTTCTGTTTCACCAAATCATTTTTACAGATAGAAAGAGTATGAGGCATTGATCCATGAGAGGACTTCATTCAACTGATCTTTATTGAGCACCTACTGTATGCAATGCACCATTTGCAATGCTAAGCCACCACAAAGAGGCAGACAGAAATCCCTGCCCTGATGGAATTGGAATTCTGTGACACCTCTCTAAGTGTGTGTCCCCTTCCCTAGTGCTGTGACTTACAATTCTTTTTACAGCAATTATTATTCGGGAGAACCTAAGGATCGCCTGTTTCTCAGAGCTCTGTCAATAACCCCAATAACTATTCTTGGTCATTAGACTTTTGCAAACTGAGGAATCCACATTTAATAAAAAATTTTAGAGCCCTTCGTTTATGCCAGACACTGTGAGTTAGATCTATTTGAAAAGAAAGTTAGATCCATCTAATTTTGGAATCATAGTTGAAGCATATTACAAGTAAATTTTTAATCATTTAAAAATACTTTTCAAGTACTTTCTTTGTAATGTCATTTATTTGTGGAAGGAATTAAGCTAAAGAACCAGATCAATTGGGTATTTAGCACAGAATTTTCATATATAGCCCTTCAGGAAGTGTTTGATTGAACTATGCTTTTTTTTTTTTTGAGACATTTTCACTCTTGTTGCCCAGACTGGAGTGCAATGGGCACCATCTCAGCTCACTGCAACCTTCGCCTCCTGGGTTCAAGAGATTCTCCTGCCTCAGCCTCGCGAGTAGCTGGGATTACAGACATGAGCCACCACACCTGGCCTGAACTGTGCTATTTTTAATATTCTACTTACAGATTGCGACCTGCAGTCATAACCTAAAATAGAAGCTCAGGATTTTAGTAATTGGCAAGCTCAAGCTAAGAAAAAGACGTTTGTATAAATGACTTCCATTGAAGCAAATATCTATGAATTCACTGTTAAAATTGAGCTCAAATTATATAAATCAGTGTGGGCATTGTTAGGGCTTGGTTTTTAAAAATAAATATCCCCATATTGGTCATTTGGGGGTGCCATTTAAAAAACTTTCAGGGCATTTTTAATCTAAGCTTAATTTATATTTTACTTTCTCAGATTGCTTTTAATTACCTTATATAATATCATATCTTTTCACACGATTTCTTCCATATATTAGTTTATAAGGAATTCTTTTTACTGTTGCCAGAATGAGTAGTGAAATAAAGGTGAATTTGAACGGGTATATCTTCATTCGCTTAGTCGTTCATTAAGTGTTTACTGTGTTTTTATCACCTGCCAGGCACCATGCTCATCTTTGTTTATGCAACAGTGACAGCGAATATGCATTACCTTTGTAGTTATGGAACTCTAACCAAATGGGGTTGACAGGGATTCCTGCAGTAACCTCAGAATTAAACAAAACATTAGGAATGAGAGGAGTCTCTGCATGAGATGAATATGCAGAGGCAGTCAGACCTGGAAGCCAGGATAAGGAATATCAATGTCTTTATTCAGAGGGTAGAGAAGAGCCATTCAGTGACTGAAAGCCAATCCTGAGATGGGGACATTACCCTTAATTATTTGGTTGGAAATGAGTACAATCATGAAAGTCCTTACAAGTAGAAGAGGGAATCAGAGTTCAAGAACCAGAGAGATGGCATCGTGCGAAGGACTCAGCCCAGTGTTGACTTGGAAACTGGTGGAAGGGCATCACCAACCAAGGAATGCCAGAAGCCTCTAGAAACCTGAAAAATCATGAAAATACATTCTACCCTGGAGCCTCCAGAAAGGAATACAGCCCTGCTGGGACCTTGATTTTGGGCCAGTAATACCCATTTCAGACCTCCAGAAGAGAAGATATTTATATTGTTTTAAGCAACTATGCTCATGGTAATTTGTCACAGCAGCTGTAGAAAGCCAGTACATGAACTGATTTAAAACTCACCCCAAACCTATTGCATTGACTCAGTATCCTTATTTTCAGATAAAGGGAATGAGGCTCACTGAGGCTGCTGGAGTTGCTTGCTGAAGCCCATCCACCATTCTTGAAGGTCATGTGTGGGGCAGAAATTCTGCATCCTATAGCCAGAAAGAAAAGCATAAATGCAAGGGGTTATTGAAGGGCAGAAATCAACATAGTAGCTTCAGCAATGTTGAGTTTAGGCCTCCACATGGGAAAAGGAAGGAGGGAGCACCAGCTCTTCGATGGAATAGCTCAGGTGGAAGTAGACATTTGGGAGCTGTCAGCAGAAAAATTTTTCAATCCATGGGAACTAATGAAGTGATTCATGGAGGTGACCGAGAGAGAAAAGAAGAAAGTGCAATGAACTCAGACATGGCGGGATTTAGGGCTGACGAAAGGGAGGGAACCCAAAAGGAGTGTCCCATGTGTCACTCTTGATGTTGCCTTCTATGAAGATGTAATTACATTGGAAAATATGTAAAGGATTTTTAGGATACGGAGGATCCCCAGGGCAGCCAAGCCTCCTTGTATTGCTGTAATATACCCACCCAAAGTCCCCTAACTGCTGCTCACCAAAGACCCTCAGTCATTGGTCATGCTCTGTTCTCGTGTTAGCACTTTGACACGTGCTGTGTATTCCCTGCTGGTACAGCCAAGCTGCCCAATATTGTAACCATGGCCATATGCAGCTGTTTAAATTTAAATTAATTAAAACGAAACAGAGGCTGGGCGCGGTGGCTCAAGCCTGTAATCCCAGCACTTTGGGAGGCCGAGGCGGGTGGATCACGAGGTCGAGAAATCGAGACCATCCTGGTCAACATGGTGAAACCCCGTCTCTACTAAAGGTGCAAAAAATTAGCTGGGCATGGTGGCGCGTGCCTGTAATCCCAGCTACTCCGGAGGCTGAGGCAGGAGAATTGCCCGAACCCAGGAGGCGGAGGTTGCAGTGAGCCGAGATTGCGCCATTGCACTCCAGCCTGGGTAACAAGAGCGAAACTCCGTCTCAAAACAAAACAAAACAAAACAAAACAAAAACAAAAACAACAACAACAAAAAAACAATGAAACAGAATTAAGAGTTTAATTTGTCTGTTGCACAGAGGACACGCGAAGTGCTTTATAGGCACAGATGACTAGACTTTACCACAGGCAAAATATTTTCATCACAACTGCCAGTTCTATTGGGTAGGGCTGGCCAAGAACGCCCTCCTCACAGGTCTCTGCAGTGCCAGTAACCACCGCTACACCTTCTTCAAGTCCTGACTCCGAATTGAACACACACCAGCCACCTTATATAAAATCAGCCCTTTTTGTCAATCCACCCTACTGCCCTTACCTTCTATATTTATATGCAGACTTATTACCTTCTAACATAACATCTCTCTTATTTAACCATTTTATTTATTCTATGTTTGTTATTATTTCACTGCTGTTGAATGGAAGAACATGGACACACTCACTGATTGACTTCAGCCTTGTGCATAGCCTACAATTCCTTTAAAAAAAAAATAAACGCTTGATGTCTTCTATGTAAAAATTAAAACCTCTAGTACGTGATTTCTCTTTTAACTAAATGCCCTCAGTGCCCACTTCTGTATCTGTTTGCTTTCTCCGATTTAAAGTTCTTCTTTTCTGGTTCCAAAGTGCTGAAAGCAAAGTTCCCACTAGATCAACCCAATTTCATCAAAGAGTTTTCTCCTCTGAAAACCCCCATCAAACACTTGGTGTGATGTTGGGGACAAGATGTTAATCACCCACAAAATGGTGCCGTTTGGTGCCATTTCACACCCTTCAGACACACTGGGGTAATTAATAAACCTGATACTGTGAAGACCTACTTTCCCACACTCAATGAGTTTCTTGTCATCGTTTTCTCTCCGCCACCCCCCCCCACCTTTATTGTCCAAAGTAATGTACAGAAAATATGCTGCTCGCCCTAGGAATAAACATGTTCAAAGGGTCAGTCTTCTGGCCTGTCTTTGAGAACACCAAGTCATGTTTCAGTAGGGATCAACCATACAGAAATGGCAGGATGCACTTGGTTAAGGGAGAAAGGGAAGCATACGCCCCTATCCTTTTGACAAAATAACTTCTTTGTGGCAATACGTAACAGAAGATAAGCCTGGATAGGCAATTCTGCAATTGTGAGGAAAATTTTTTTGTTCTTGTGTGGGTTTAATAGTAGTTCATCTTTATTTTTTAAAAATGTAGGATTGAGAAAATTCTGATGATTCTCTTTTACAACAGGAATTATGAGAGGTGTTGCTAAGTGTTACCTTTCACTGTGGGACTTTGCTTATTGTAAAAACTATGGCTAGGTTATTCACAAGACGTCTTTGGAATAATTTTGTTATGACTTTCCTAATTTTTTTTCTACTTAGTACTTGCACTTCAGCACGGGTTTTCCCTTGGCAGTGTGTTACTTTGTTCTTAATCATTAAGTGATCAGAATTATTACTTATTAATTATTATGATTATTAAGTAATCAGAATCACACCTCCTTTGGCTCACCTGTGTATTTGTTGGTCACTGGCAGAGTTTCATTTCCTCTCCTTTTCTCCTCTCAAGTTTAAGAACCCCAGACTACATGGAATGTAACATCCACCCTGTTATTTTTGTTTGTATGTTTTCGTGCTTAGATCCCATTGTCAACCGATATCATGTGCGGTGGTTTCCTGAAGCATGTGCCCACAACAGAACAACCAGATCAGAGGCATCATCTGGCATGACCCAAGTAAGGACCTGATCTCTAGGCCAACTTGATCTGTGAACGTGATTTGACAGGAGGATGTACAAACTAGACATGTCAGACAGATAACTCATTCTCACAAATCAGCTATTGAATATGACTCGATGGAAGCGGAAAACAGAATGGTCATTATATCCACTCATTCTTTTATCCATTCACACCATTGCACTGGGAACTTCCTCTGTTATCAACATGGAGCAAGACCTAAAGTGCGGAGACTAAAGACACAATTCTTAAAGAACTCCCATATTTCAGAGGGAAATATGTCTGAGTGTCTGTATGCTTCATCTTAACCGGACAAAACCTTTCAATTACTTTCTGAATTTTGCCATGGCACAGTGATCTAAAGGTGTCATTGTACAAGTGAATTTCTGTGTGACTCTGTCATTTGCCACCATGTCCCTAACTGCCATCAGCTCAATTAGTGAAAGAAACTCCCTGTTCTGTATAGCATGCACCAATATTTTTACTTTTAGCTTTAAGAGAACATTAAACTCTCTGAGGATAGCAACTCTGTCAATATTGCCCAAAATATTATTCCAAATATTTTGGAGTTAATGCATGAATTATAGATTAGAATCAACAAACCAACACAAAATGTTTAAGAGATCATTGTAGTATACAAAGTGCTGATGACAGCAATTTATATGTAATACCTCAGGACAGTTAAAAAAATCTAAAAACATGACCCCAAATGTGCAATGTTTTGATTTGTGATATGTAACTAGAACATTTTTCTTTTGAACATTTTCTAAAGCAACAAGTACAATATTTTAAGAACCATACCTGCTAGCATAATTTTAAGACAGTAAGATAAAACAAGGCACTGGATTTTCAGAAATACACAGCTTCTTTTTCTTTGTTACTGGATTTGATTTGTCTCACGTTCACCAAAATTTCTCCTTTTATTTATCCTTAAATTAGCTCCAATGTTTGTGACCTTCAGTAAAAAATTTAAACAGACATTCCAAATAGGGAAATCTATTTGAAAAGCAGAGAAAGAAATAAACAGAAGTGGAATTTATTAATATTTTGTGGGCAGAGGGGTGAGGTTTTTATTTGTTTTACTTATATGTGCGTGTCTCAGAACCTTGCAGAACTGGGCTTATGTCAGTGTAATTCCGCAATCTTACACCTATCATCTTTAGGAACTCTGAAAGTGGTAACAACTATTTGCTAAGCAGATGTAATGTATCTGGTGGAAATGAAAATCAAAATCCTGAAAAATTATCCTTCTAGGAGCTTAGAACTTGTCTGTATTTATTTTTAAACCTTTAGACCCAATTATTATAATTTGTTTTTGTGCTACAGTGGAGCATCTGCTAATTCACTTACTGCTGCAGACGTCTGCCTCCTATGCAACATGAAAGCAATCTTGAAATATCTGTGAAACAGGATCCTTAATCGCTAACCTTGGATTCCAATATAGTCCTACATAAAGTGCAGATTTATTCCCAAAGAAAAGCAATTCAGACTCCCAGAGAGACATGGCGGCCTCGGGTTGGGCTTGCGTTGTCCAGATTAGCTTGTTTCCTGTTCACTGTGCTAGCTGGCTGCATAGTTGGGTGTACCCCATCTCCTGTCACCATCTGGATAAAGAGTCAGCACCCCTGGAGGTCACTCCCTGTTTTTTTTTTGCACATTCAGTGCTATGTCACCTGCAGCCACTTCCACTCCTCATTCAAGTAAATCACTCATGCCGCAGTTTTTATTTTAATTCTTGTCTTATGTTTTCCCCATCAGCCCTGCTGCTTTCTAGCAAGACCCCCTACCCGTAATTCAATGAGTATTAGAGATATTCCATCTGTACCTTTTTTTCCCTCTCTTATAATAATTTTAAATAAAACACATAAAAACCATGGAGTCTCACTACGATGCCCAGGCTGGTCACAAACTCCTGAGTTCAAGCAATCCTCCTACCTCAGCCTCTTGAGTAGCTAGGACTATGGCACAAGTCACCATGCCCAGCTATCCATCTGCACCTTTTATACATATACATTAAGAATTGATAAATACAAAATAGAACGGATAAACATAACTTAGCCAATATAAAAAAACAGAGTTACACACCTGTTATCACAGGAAATGTCATCTTTTGATGTTATCATAAACTTATATTCCTAGCCTCTGACTCCTTACCATTTAGCTTTTTTCTTTTATTTATATTTAGTCACAACATTATGGCAGAAAACAGTAACAGCACTCCAAAAAAGGAAAAAATTACATTGCTAAAAAAAATCACCATTTTTTACAGAAAAACTTACATGTAAATGAATTCTATGTCTCAGAAAGGCCTGACTTATTTATTTTTTTTAACAGAAAACAGTTGGAGTTTTATTTATAGCTTTACACCAATACCTGCACTGTCCCCAACTCAAAAATGCTGGTTGTGACCTGAGAAGTAGCCTGCTTTGATGAGGAATTGTTATGATACTGTTTAATTTTAGAGAGTATATCCCGCAGCCATGGGAGTGTTTCACAATTGTCATTAATCAAAATGTACACAGTGTCTCCTTTGTACTTTTTATCAAAGCCATATTACACACACTATATGAGAAAACATTCTTGTTGGATAGAATATGATTTCAATTCTTGCCAGTGTTGTTTAATCCCTAGTGAGATTTATTGCTAGCTTATTCTCTTTCTCTTGCTCTAGGAAAATTATATAATTCTTCAAGATCTGTCATTTTCCTGCAAGTATAAGGTGACTGTCCAACCAATACGGCCAAAAGGTCACTCCAAGGCAGAAACCATTTTCTTCACTACTCCACCATGCTCTGCTCTTAAGGCGAAGAGCCATAAGCCCGAGGGCTGCCCTGGAGAAGCAGGTATGTTTTCACCTGAAGGGCTTCCCCACATCTAGGTCTAAGCCGGTGTCAGCAGCACTGTCCAAACATTGCCAAACTGCATTTCACAAGACCATAAAAACCAAAAGTATCCCTCTTTCTAAGTTGTGTTGTGATGGCCCAATGTGGAAGGAAGATATGTAGGAATAAATGTGTTATTTTATAAGCCTAACAGCCTTGGAAAGATGTCCTTTGATAGTAATATTATCCCTTTGGAAATGAAGGGAAACATTCAGATGCCGCTTGTGTTTTGGCAAAGTTTGATATAATTATTTCATTTTTATCCCATCCCTTTGCTGTGTGGATTATATTCACATGCTTTCCGTGCCAACCCAGCAAACCTGACATCTGCACCTTCCATCCCCCTCCTTGCCAAAGCACCTGTCTTGCAGTGGGAAAAACTCTATTTAATTAATGTCCTGGATTTGGCCGGACATGGCAGCTCATGCCTGAAATCCCAGTACTTTGGGAGGCTGAGATGAGAGAATCACTTGAGCCCTTGAGTTCCGACAGCGTGGGCAGCATAGTGCAATCCCACCTCTAAAAAAAATGAAAGGAAAAAAAAAGGACTGGATTTAATGACTCTTCTAACAACTTTAATATTTACCTTCTCACTGCCGTCATCGCTATTCTTTAAGAAATAGTTAAGTCTTGCCAGGGTCTTAACTGCTCTCCTGCTTCCATCTTCAAAAGAGCATTCTAAGAAAGGATCCCCAAAGGACTGGAAGAAACATATAGCACAAAGTTGTAGTGATGAGATTCCTACTCAACCTGTCCCTATATGTCAAAGGGGTGATTGCCTGAACCCATGTTTAAAGAATGAGGTCAGATTGCTTCTATTAATATCATCCCATAGACTGGCTGCTGAACATTCCTACGATGCATATACAATGGATCCCATGGTCACACCTTCTCCAGAAGCCTAATCCTGGTTTTCCTTCTTGCATTGCTGCAGGTCATGTTCTTTCTAAGGTGCTAGCTAAGCCTGAGAACCTTTCTGCTTCATTCATCATCCAGGATGTGAACATCACCGGCCATTTTTCTTGGAAGATGGCCAAGGCCAGTCTCTATCAGCCCATGACTGGGTTTCAAGTGACTTGGGCTGAGGTCACTACGGAAAGCAGACAGAACAGCCTACCCAACAGCATTATTTCACAGTCCCAGATCCTGCCTTCTGTAGGTGCCCCCTCTTATACTACGTCCTTCTCATTGGTATCTACTGCTCTTTTTTAACTACCTTCAGAGATGGCTACCTCTGTCATTCTGTGTGCTGTACTATTGAGTCTTATTTCTGCATTTTCTTCTTCTGAGTATATCTTTTGCAAGCATTAATACATCACGAATATATCTGTGCATAGCTAAGAAGTAGCATAAGCTGCCGTCTAAAGTTTGATGGCTAGAGCCAACTCATGAAAAGACCTTACCCTATCTTGTATCTAAGTGATTGCGCCACTTTCTTGTCTTTGTCAACCTCATGTCTCCCTGGTTCAAGTGGACATGCCCTGTTTGAAGTGTTGGATGGGTGAGGGAGGGGGCGGGTATAACTAAAATAAACTTGTTTGTCTTTCTTCCCCCAACCTTCAAATTTGGCTCAAGCCCGTAATGAGTTGGCCTGTCTTCCAGGCAACTTAATTCCTTGGCTTCAAAAAAAAAAAAAAATCATGTGTGGGATTTTACCAACTCTCTGAAAATGCCCTTAGAATAGCCAACCACCATTAAAAAATTTAAAAAGGGAAGAAAAATTAAAAGAAACACAACTTAAATTTCAGAAGGAAAAATTCCTTGGAATTAGAGAGTGGTTATTCTAAATGTACTAGGTTTTACTGAGTTTTGAGAAGAATGTACTGGCATAAAAATAAGTATTTTTACTTATGGGCATTGGAGATTTTGTGTTTTGAGAAAAACAATTGGCTCATTCACTGAAATTTGGATTATCAAGAATTCACATCACAAGATGTGCAGCTGAAGAGTTTAAACCATGGGAAAGTCTTATGTTAAGGAATAAAAAAATAAATAAAATCCCAGGAGTGAGCCCTGAGAACTGGCATCTTGGCACATTTTAACTCTGCCAAGCACCTTAGGCTGCCAAGACTTGAGTGAGGTGCTAAGAAATCATATGGCAGAGAACCCCCATAAACGAGGAAAAATAGTCTTTGCCTTTACAAAGGAACCAAACTTGCCTGTGTATGATACTCTCGAGCAGGGGAGGAACTGTCCTAGCCTATCTGTGCACTGTGCATTGTCTCTGAAAGGTTGTTGGTGAGCATCCTCTTTCACATTGCCCCCTTAGGATCACTATGTCCTAACCGTGCCCAATCTGAGGCCGTCCACTCTTTACCGACTGGAAGTGCAAGTGCTGACGTCTGGAGGGGAGGGACCAGCCACCATCAAGACGTTCCGGACGCCAGAGCTTCCACCCTCTTCAGCGCACAGTGAGTGGGGTGCCAGGGCATTAAGGTGTCCTGTCAGGTCTTGTGGACACAGAAAAAAGTCTTGCTGGAAAATGAAATCTATTCCAGGCACCTGTAGCATAAATTGCATAGTTGATGCTTAATTGCTCTTTTTCTCCCTCCCTTCCTATTCGCCCCTTTTCTCCCTTTCTTTGCTCCTGCCTTTTCTCCTTTCTCCCTCCCTCTCTCCCTCCCTCCTCCTTTCCCTCTCTTCTTTTCTCTTTTCCTCCATCCTTCCTTTTCTTTCCTTCCTTGCATTTTTCCTTATATCATGCTTGCTTTTTTCCTTGTCTTTTAAATCATAAATGCATATGGGAAAAAATCTATAGTCTCATATCAATCTGAAATATTTTTAAATCAAGATTTTCAAATATCAAAATATAGGAAATAATATTTTGCTAAGGAACTTATTTTCTTGTCACTTAGATATTAATTACTGTAATATGTGTCATGAATTTTCTTCATGATATGACCCAAGTCCACCTACTTCATTTATTGCTAAATCAAGTCAAATTTAAAAAGAAAATTGTCACCTAGATTTTCAAAACAGCCTCTTGCTGATTTTTAAATTATGTACTTCGTTTACTTTATTTTCTAGTTTAAATGTAAAAACCAGTGTTTAATGATTAGCGAGTAGATAAAACATTGAGAATTAGTCATAGTTTTAACTCTGATTATTTTAAATGATAGATTAAATTTGCCCTAATAACTTAGTATGCTTATAATTTGAAGAAAAACAATAACTAGGCCGGGCTCAGTGGCTCACGCCCCTAATTCCGGCACTTTGGGAGGCCGAGGCAGGCGGATCACCTGAGGTCGGGAGTTTAAGACCAGCATGACCAACATAGAGAAACCCCGTCTCAAAAAAACAGAGAGAGAGAGAGAGAGAGAGAGAGAGGGAGAGAGAGAGAGAGAGAGAGAAAGGAAAACAAAAACTATCACCAAAAACTATCACAATGGGAGAGCTTGATAGCCTCTAAAATTTTTGTCAGATAAAATGCTCTTCTGATATTCCTTCATAGAAATTCCGTTTAACAAAAGTTGTTGATAGTTTTTAAAACTTCTTTGAGCAAATAAGAAAGGATTATGGTTTGATTGAATAATTGTGAGCTTAAGGAAAGGAACTTGTTTTCTTTTTCTTGTTTTATGGTTTGGGAAGGCATCAAGGAGGAAGAGAAAAACAGGGAAAGGAGAGAAAGAATGTTTGTACATTCAGATTCAGAATAGGAAAGACAGGGTCATAGGAAGGAACATTTGCCTGGGTCTCGTGTTTTTTCTACAAATAAAAGTAATTCAATCATTTATTTGATATGTATAAAGGGATGTGACTGATACATTTTGTCACTTTTTAGGATCTCATCTTAAGCATCATCATCCACATCATTACAAGCCTTCTCCAGAGAGATACTAAACTATTCAAGAAGATTTTTTAAAATTGCACAGATGTGTAAGCTTGTTGAACTTTGGCCACGAGGCATGCATACTTCCAGAGGCAACGGGAACTGCTCAGAGGCCCCAACTCTCCTATGTGACTTTAGTGCAGGAAGAACTTCTGTCAATCACGGATGCATCTGGAGACAAGTGAGAAACTGTAGACTGGTAAATACAGATACCAGCTCCCTACAAGAATGGAGAAAATTAAGAATAGGCCTGTTTAACTCTAAATTCTGTTTTCATGTATGGTGTCGCTCATTTCTATTGCATTACAGCATAACTCAGTTTTCCCTGAATTTGGAGCACCAAACTCCCCACAAAAAAGTAGAGTAACAAATACACATTTCACACATAACACTGAGCATAAATCTAATCAATCAAATGTACTTTTGACTAAATTATTGATTTGATATGAAAAAATCAGATTATACAGCTTTGTTTATTTGAATCTTTCATAAGATCATTTTTATCTTAGGTGATTTGTAAATGAAAATACGTAATCTAAAATATACCAGTGAATTTAAATCTAAAAATGCTCCTACTTTAAGTACCTTATGCTGCTTTTTACACAAAGGTAAATGAGAGTTCCCTCTATAAATTATGATTTACAGAAGACATCCAAAACAGAGAAACTCAATGAAATAAGCTGCTAACCAGATTTTACCTTGGAGAAATGAAAATTATTTCCTGGGGATGCTTTTAAATATTTGATCCTATTATGTGAGAGATTTTCCTGATATGTTATCTTATTTATATTTTCCCTTATTTTCCTCAATACAGATAATAGCTGTTGGTGCACTTTTGTTTCACCATCTGAAAATTCACAAAACTTCTTGCTTCAAATGAATAAAATCCCAACTATTGAGCATGTTTAGATCTTTGCAGAGATTTGTCTTTTCTTAAAGCAAGCTCTTGTATGCTAGAATTTTATTGGTAATGTTATAAAAAATGGCTTTGATTGATAGAGAAGGACAGTTACTTGCATTTAATTCATCTATATGCGTTCAAATCTATTATATCTTACCTTTTGGAAAATTTTATGCTACAAATTACTCCCTTGTAGCATGAACTTAAGTCAAAACATGTTATCAGTATAGAGTGTTGCAGTGTGTATTGTAACAACCTAAAATGCAGAGATGTTTAATACTGTTTTTTTCATGAAAAAACACTCACATACATGGTTTGAAATGTGCATAGATATGCATGTCTATGTACACACAGACACATGTATATACATGAATATACCTTGAGCATGAATCCCTGAAGAAATCATTTTCATAGCTCACCAATGGTCATGAGGATCATATGTTTTCCCCATCAATGCTGATTCTGAGAAAAGAGTGATTTGTCAAAATTAAACACTGTAAAAGAAAGGTGCTCTCATGTCATCACCTACCTAAGTAAAACAGAAAATCAGAAACCTTATCCTTAGATTTTGACAATCGTACTTGCTTCTTGTTGTTTTACTGTTTCCTGAATTCATGCATATGCCTGACCATTCCTGGGAAGAGTGGATAGCTCAGAAGTTATTGACTCCACGGGCTTCACTGCAGTGTCTAAAAGCAAAAGCAAATTAAAATGCAGAGAAAGTACTTTTATGATGTGGATGCATGTATTTAGGAAACACATTTATAAACATGGATACCCAATAGTAAATATTGAAACCTGTTTCCTGTGTGTTAAACTCTATGAAAAGTGGATATTGCAGGAATGTTTTGCAGCCTTGTACAAGTTACTTAAATTGGACACCTCAGAATGAAAGTTCATGTAGGTTCTGAACGGTTTTCTGCAGCTACTGTCACAGCTGGGATGGATTTATCACACTGAGTTGTGAAATTACCTGGTTCTAATAATTTTTGAATGGTGAAAATGGAAAACAGTCTTCATTTAAAAACATCCCTAAGCTTGAATAAACTGATACCATAGATATGTTTTCTAAAACTATGCTTTATTCTACTGCCATTACCAGCATCTGAATTTCAAGTTCTTAAAATTTTGAAAATTAAAATTTTTCGTTATTGACTATCTGTTTATCTTTCACATGAATTTGTCATGAACAAATCCAAATATTGATGCCAGCAAATTTTTGTACTGTTGTATAGTTAAAAATGCTGGGAGTCTATACATAGCTACAAAATATTATTAAATTATTACATAAATTTAATTTTATAAAATTTAATAATGCTTCTTTTATCTGGGTAATAGAGATTGGACAGATATTTTTAGTTCATATGGTGATTCTGAAGCTTACATCTCCCTTAAAAAATCTAAACCAGCTCTTATGGGTTTCTAATTTTGCTATAAATAATTTAAATTTTTTTGGTGTTATTAGAAGAAAAACCCTATTAATGGGGTAATAAGTGTTTCTCTTGTGAATTTTAATAAGCTCCAATATTACTCAAATGATCAAAAATATAGTTGCAATTTTTTGAATTTTAAAAATATGATTGCTCCAATAAAGGCTAAAATCTATGTTTTTAAACAAACATAGTTTTGGTTCCTAATTCTGTAATATGTTTTATTGAAATTAGATGCATTTCTCTAATGTGAGAAAAATATATCCAGTAATGCCATTGACTGTTTAAAGAATTGTGCTCATCAAAAATATTGTTATCAAATACAGGTGGCTAATTTGATACACATTGCAGTTACATGCATTATTTTTATTTACAACATTTACTCCTTAATGATGATTTATCTGAGTTACCCTGTTTTTCTACCTGGAATGCCGTAGAATTATGCTTGCAAACCAACGTGTGCTCCTTTCAGTCGTTCACTATTTTAATATGACGTGGTAGACAAGATAAAGTTTTTGGCAGGTAACTTTTTGTCATGTGTAAACGAAGTTCAAAGATTAGAAATATATCTATGTCCTGAAAACCTTAGATACATAGCTGACTGTATACAGGGGTTCATCTCAAGCTCAACACTATTGACTTTTGGGGCTGGATAGTTCTCTGTTGTGAGGAGTTGTCCTGTGCACTGTAGGTTTGTAGTAACATCCACAGTTTTTCCTCACCAGATGCCAGTTGCACCCTCCCCCAAGTTAAGGCAACCAAATATGTCTCCAGATATTGCCAACTGCCCCCTGAGGGTCGGTACCTCTGGTTGAGAACCATTGCTAGAGAATGATCTTTACTCAGTAGATGAGAATTTGGCCTTTATAAGAAACCCAGTAAATTTCTAGAGCAAGTCCCAAAAACTAAGGGACAGCTAAGATGTTATTATGGTTGACTTCAAAGGCCTAAACTGTGTCTTTTATGTCCACTAAACAACCTGATTAAAAGACCGAATTGTGACTTGTGTCTGTATTATACAAGTACAAATACTAATTTTGCCCTATGTATCCATAAATGTCATTTGTGATATTGACTTATTTATTTAATGCCCTTTCTTATGCCGTGGTTTTTCAAGTTTACTCATTTCTGTGGTTGCAAATAACTCTAAAACTTATTATATAAACTTTCTCATTATAAGCAGAATACAATAGCTAAATATCTGTTGCATGTACTTTAAAGTTTATTATAAGATATAAACAGATCTATAAAGATGTTGACTCTTACTATGGTTTTGCATGGCCAGACTCGGTATCAGGTACGGAGAAGATTCTCATGACTGTCTTACCTCTACTGAATATTTTAGTGAGTTATATGATTTACAGAGTGATTAACAGAGGTCTATATAAAGTTATTTTCCCCTTTACTTAATTATATTGTAGTGTGCAGATAACAAAACTGCTACCTTCTCATTCAAATGGTCTGTAGAATTCATGTCCTTACAGTGGTCATTTAAAGTCAATATTTATTTATGTATGTAATAAAAAAGTTGGATTTTTGTGTATGTCTGTCATGTTATTTAGAGAGAAGTAATCTTGTAAAAAATGTTTTGTAAAAAACAAAAAAGTATTGTAAATAGTCTTGATATTCTGTGACTCATTATTTTCATGTTAGAGTTTGTACATACTGGTTCAATAATAAAGTATCCTTAAACCAGACCAAGTAGTCGACTCATTTATTTCTTAAATAAACATTTTTGCTGGGCACAGTGGAATGCACCTGTAGTCTCAGCTACTCGGGAGGCTGAATTTGAAGGATCACTTGAGTTCTGAATGTTTGAGACCAGCCTGGGCAACATAGCAAGACCCTGTCTCCAAAAATTAAAAAAAAAAAAAAAAAGAAAGAAAAGAAACGTTCCCGCATTTAAGAAAAAAAAAAATTGACCACTTCTGCTGCCAAGGAGATTCAAAAAGCCTCTTTCCATGTCGGTGTTAATGGATTGCGAGGTCTGGTAAATGTTAACAAGACAGCACTTCATCCTAATGAAAGTATCTTGGAATTTGACAATCAACACTTTGGACTTCTATCATCATGTTTACAGTTGTAACTCCTGATAGTTTTAGTGGTATTTTAAGTCAAGGATATACAATTTTAGGCTGTTGTGGTTTTTTTGCCACCAAAATTTATTCCTAAAATTGTAGATACGTGCAGTGCCAATAAGCATTCACTTGTATCTGTTTTTCAATACTTCTTACTATGGAAGCCTTTAAATCTCCAATATCTAAGAAGAGTTTTGAGAGGCTTGTACATCCCCACTTTGACATGCAATTGACCCATACCTGCTGATGAATTGGAAACAAATGCCTAAGAAAAAAAATCATTAGAAATAAAGGCTTTTAGGGTATTCATCACCCAAATAATATAGATTGTACCCATTAAGTAATTTCTCTTTCCTCCCACTCTCCCACCCTCTGACCCTCCCAGCCTTCCAAGTATTCACTGTTAATTATTCTACATTCTACGTTCATGGGTATACATTATTTAGTTCCCACTTATAAATGAGAAGATGTGGCATTTGTCTTTCTGTATCTGCCTCATTTCACTTAAGATAATGGCTTTCATTCCATCTATGTTGCTGCAAAAGACACGATTGCATTCTTTGTGGCTGAATAGTATTCCATTGTGTATATAGGGACCACTTGTATGTTGTTAGTGATAATGTAAGTTAACACAACCTCTATGGCAAACAGTATGGAGATTGCTCAAAGAACTAAAAATAGAACTATCATTTGACCAAGCAGTCCCACCATACCCAGAGAAAAAATAATCATATAAAAAAGATACTTGTATGTTTATCACAGCACTATTCACAATGGTAGAGATATGGAAGCAGCCTATCAAGGCTATCTGTGGAGGATTGCTTGATGCTTTTTTGCCATCTTGAGGTTACAGAAAGAATGGGTGGGGGATCCTGGCAACACAATTTATGGGAGGGGGAGAAGTCCTGATTAGCAAAGGTGTTCTTGTTATGCAGATGAAACCTCTCAGCAGCCTTTAGAGAGAATAGATGGTGACTGTTTCTTTCAGACCTTAAAGGTGTCAGGCTTTCAGTGAATTTTTCCTAGATCCAGGCACTGGGGACAGGGAGTGGGTGTCAGAGAAAACTTGGCTGCATCAATGCAGATTTTCTCTACATCTACAGATGCAAAGCTCCCCCACAAAAGACAGCTTTGTAGGGCTGGTATTTATAGGCCTTCTGAACAGCCATCTCTAAATATGTCAAAGAAGGGTTATTTGGGGGTGAAATACTTTGATTTATTTCAATAGCTGCTGCCACCACCCTACAACTTGAGCACCCATGCCAGCGGCCCCAGGCTTGACTCTCTTCGGTCTCTGAGGCCTGAATTTCCTGGGACCTCTTATCCACTCTATTGTCTGAGGCTACACCCCAGCCAATCAGCTGCACAGCCTGGTCACCTCACACTGGTCTCCAGCCTCCATTCTTCATCAAAGATCAGAGAGGCTGGGGCTACTGACCCAGAGATCAGACTTGAAGGTTGCAATAAGAATCCAACTTCCATTAACATTCTTGTACTTCTTGAGCTGCATCACAGGGTAAACAGGATTTTAGGGCCAGTGGAGTGTCCTGGCAGGAACTGAAAACCCAAGGTATATTTTTAGTATTTTTTACATTGGGGAGGTATATTTTTTACACAAATGAGTCCAGAGAATGCAGCTTTCTTGTAAATTGGAGACAACTTTTACATATACTAGCCACTGACGGAGCATGGCATCGAAGGAGAAAAAGCTGCAGGGGATACAAGAAAAATTTTTTTAAAGAGTAAGAGGCCAGGCATGATGGCTCATGCCTGCAGTCCCATCACTTTGGGAGGCTGCAGCAGGAGGATCACTTGGTGCCCACCTGGGCAACATAGACCCCATGTCCCCCCCAAAATTAAAAATTAGCTGGATATGGTAGTGCACACCTGTAGTCCCAGCTACTTGGGTGGCTGAAGCAGGAGAATTGCTTGAGCCCGGGAAGTAAAGGCTGCAATGAGCTATGATCACATCACTGAGCACCAGCCTGGGTGGCAGAATGAGAGCCTGGGTGGCAGAATGAGACCCTGTCAAAAAAGAAAACAAAAAAAAAAAGAATAAAAATGTTGCCCTCTCTTGTGCGGTAAACACAGAGAGTGTGTCTGCCTATCCTTTCTCTGCCTTGGTATTCCCACCCAATGTAAGGATTTTGCCAGTCACTTCATGATTACTGTTAAGATGGTCATGTTACAGTACTTTGAAAAATCCACGTGTGTATGCATGTCTAAAAATGTCAGATCGAAAGCATCAAAAGCAAAAATTGACAAATAGAATCTAATTAAACTTAAGAGCTTCTTCACAGCAAAAGAAACTGTCAACAGAGTAAACAGACAACCTAGAGAATGGGAGAAAATATTTGCAAATTATGCATCTGACAAAGGTCTTATATCCAGCATCCAGCATCGATAAGGCACTAAAACAAATATACAAGAAAAAACAATCTCATTAAAAAATGGACACAGGATATGAACAGCCACTTTTCAAAAGAAGACATGTATGTGACCAATAAGTATATAAAAGAAAGTTCAAAATCACTGATCATTAGAGAAATGCTTATCAAAACCACAATGAAATATCATCTCACACCAGGCAGAATGGCCATTTTATTAAAAAGAAAAAATAGCAGATACTGGCAAGGTTGCACAGAAAAGGGAATGCTTATATACTGTTGGTTAGGGTGTAAATTAGTTCAACAATTGTGAGCAGCACTGTGGCAATTCCCTAAAGAGCTAAAAACAGAAATGCCATTTGACACAGTGATCCCATTACTGGATATATACCCAAATAAATATACATCATTCTACCATAAAGACATATGCACACAAATGTTCACTGCAGCACTATTCACAGTCACAAAGACATAGAATCAACCTAAATGCCAATCAATTGTAGACTAGATAAAGAAAATACGGTGTATACACACCATGGAATACTATACAACCAAAAAAAAGAATAAGGTCGCGTTCTTTACAAGAACATAGATGGAGCTGCTGGCCATCATCCTTAGGAAACCAACACAGGAACAGAAATGCCAATACCACATGTTCTCACTCATAAGTGGGAGCTAAATGATGAGAACACATGGACACAAAGAGGGGAACAACAGATACTGGGACCTACTTGAAGGTGGAAGGTGGAACGGGGAGAGGATCAGGAAAAATAACTAATGAGTACTAGGCTTAGTATCTGGGTGATGGAATAATCTGTACAACAAACCTCTGTGACAAGAGTTTACCCATTTAATAAACTTGCACTTGTACTCCTGAGCCTAAAGTAAAAGTTAAAAAAATAAAAAAAAAATTGAGTGAATCGTATAAAAAAATTAAAATGCCAGATCACTAAACTGGGGGTGGAAGGTTAGTAATCCCTGAAACAATTTAAAGCAACTAATAGGAAATTGCATTAGTTTGTATTTATACCAACACTTCTTGATATTCAATCCCTGGCAGTGATGGAATGAATTTTAGAATGACATTAGGAAAACTGAGCAGTTTATGTAAGATCTGTGTAATAGAAGGTTCTAATCTATAGAGAACAGAGTAAGAAGAATTTGGAAAAGCAAAATCTAAGAATGGAAACAGAATTAAGAGGTATTTAGAAAGTAAGGCAAAGATAGAATAAGATGAGAGTGGGGAGAGAAGGAGAGACCGTGAAACCAAAGACATAAGTACTGAAGACTACAGTTCTTTTGCATAATAACTAAGGGCCAGAGGTCTGATTTAGATGCCACAGCAAATTTTAAAATTGGAACACAATAAATATTCCCGAGTAAATGTTACATATATTCTACATATGAAACTGAAGTAGTTGGGAGAACTAGAACTGATAAGGAACAATGTGGAGTCCAGGGCTCCCTGTGTTTTATGAAACTGATATTCAAATCCAAGCCTTATATCTTTTGCCAATCTTCTTTAAAGATGTCTCTTCCCCCTGCTCTCTCTTCTTTTTTTACTTTGTATTTTGAGAAAATTATAGATTCACATGCAATTATAAGCAACAATAGAGATTATGAATTATCCGGAACCCTTCATTTAGTTTCAAAACTACAATATAGTATCACAACCAGGAAATTTACATTAATATAAACCATATCCTTTTTTCAGATATTATAGGTTTTACATACATACAGTTGTGTGCATGTGTGGAAGTTTGTGTGTACTTGGTGCTATTCAATTTTACACACAAATTATTTGCAACTTGTTTACACAAATGAGTCATTGTGTTTTAAGTAGATGAATATCTAAGGGACACACAATGACTTAAAGAAATTAGTTTTAAGGAGGTATTACATATTTGTGCACATTTCCCTAGGGCTGAGTGCAATTTACTTTGTGCTGATTTTAACTTTAACACTCTAGGAATGATCGACTCAATATGCATGTGATGCCATCTTCAATTTCTGTAAGTGAATTTTTTTCATAAAGTGGCTGATCACATAACAAGTTTGTATAGAAAAATCCATCTTGTCCAAGGAAACTAAATGTGTGAGTACATAAAGTCTATAGATTTGAAAAATCGTTTCACTGAGGGAATCCTGGTGCACATTTGTAGTCTAGACACGGATTTGAGAAAATAAAAAGAACAGTGAAATCCTTTATTGGTAAGAAAACTAAAGGTTACT